AATAAATAAATAAATAAAACAAATAAAACAATAAATAAAAGTTGATAATTAAATAAATAAATAAATAAAACAAAACCCCCACCCCCACCAACACTGGCAGGGCATGCCACAGTATATAAACAGAGACCAAACCCCATCCCATTTTAGCACTGAAGATGTTATCTAGCCGGGTAACAAAACATTTGCAAGAAAACAACCAAGCTCAGAGTACCCCAAGGACTCCATAGTTCAACCCTGAGCTACACATATTCGCTTCTATTGGTATCATTCATTTCATTATACAACATATCCTTTAAGTGACAATAGTTTGAGTCTGTAACTATTGTCTTCTCTCTGACAAAAGCACCTGTCCTGAGAAGCTATACTGCAGTATGGTGGTGCAAAATTAAGGAAAATTGGTCACCGCCCAAAGGGAAAGGGAGTTATAGATAAGATTGTGGGAGAAGGACGTTGCAACTAGACCTGTTAGTCCTAGAATTGTTACCTGGCAGAGGGAAGTTTCATGGATCTAGATAGAAGCCGTGGGGATATCACTGAAATTCTGTTCTCCAACACTGTTTAGTCAATACTGTATATCATCCCCTCCAATGTGACTGATTATGACTTAATTATGTGCCATCAAGTTGGTGTCAACTCTTGGTAACAACATAGATATGAATAATAGATCAAATTGTACAATCCCCCACATGTGAAACAATAGAGGATAAAATCAGATGTTTTATTTTAAGGACCCTTAAATGCATAGTTTTATCAGGTCCTTTTCCTCTTGGTTTAAAGATTTGGATCTCTTTCCCTTGCCATATACCCTGGGCTATTTGCACAATCACTCTGAGTGCATTTTAGAAGTAAAACCAGGGCGAAGGTTTCCCAGGAGCTGAGAAGGGAATAATTGAGTGGGAATTGTTACCCAGGCCTTCCCAATCCTAGCCACTAGGTGACACTCCCTTTTAAATAAATATTTCCTGGTGCTGGCTGCAGTTAAGCCAAGTAAACAATACACAGAAAGGCAAAGGCAAGGACCTGGAGAACACCCACCAACGATCATTGGTCAGACTCCATTTAATCTTCATATATTCAGTTCTGCAGCTATCTTAGCAACTAAATTCATTTCTATCTACCATTCTACCTCCTTTCAAGTATACTAATACAGCCCATAGCATTCAGCTGACAAAGTGGGGTCTCATCTATGAAAACTCTAGCAAAAAGGCTGCAGGATTTCTAGGCTTGTGGAGGAGCAAACTAAAATGAACCATAACAGCAAAGACATCTATCAGCAGTAAAAGTGGAATTCCCAAGCAGAAGTCAATCTTATCAAATCCTGAGAACAAAATCATTGCTGAATGTACAATATCTATCTTGCTAAGTCTGCACAAGAGTCAGCAGTTGCTAGTTAAGAAAAGGTTACAGCCATGCTGATTGGATCATGTTGTCTTTTGAATACTGGGCATTCATTCATGCTTTGCACAGTATTATGATATGCTGTGTTCTACCTCTTATAAGCTGGAGGTGGGTAAAATGCACATGCTTCTCTGTCTGGGCTCAGGTCACAACTTGCCTACCCACTTAAAAAAAAGGTCATTTTATGCAGCTGGTAAAATAGACTGTGGCCATCACAGTTGATGCCAAAATGCATATATTAATCTAGTCAGCAACATCAGACTTGGCTTCACTGCAACAGATTTAACATGGTCATCCCTCTGGCGTTAGCCACTGGTGTAGCTGAAATCATTATATGCAGATTCAAGTCCTGTTCAACCACGAAACTTTTGATCTGGGCTATTTTGTTGCAGTACGCCAGCCTATTTCCTTCCTTGCAACACCTAACATTGCCTCACAATGAGGAAGTGCACAATGACCGCCGATCCCTCCCAGACCTGTCTCCTCTGGCTTGCAGTGGCTTTCCAAAGTTCCGAAGCAGAAAATAATTGTTCAGATCCCCAGCTATATGATCCTCCCCTTCACCGGAATGTAGAGTCTGCAACCCTAGAACATGAAGATAAAGGAGATGTTGCCTACTGCCTTAGGGGAAGTACTACTACCACATTAATGAAGATGTGGACGATGTTTACATTATTCACATTTTAACATCTTGGAATTAAAAAGCATTATTACCAGCAGAGAACTTCAGCATAGGCTTGTTTGCAGAGTCCTCTATTTTATCAGTACAAAA